CCCTCACCCCTTGTGAGTACTATGGATTTTTTGTGAAACAGGGGATTCCTCAGAGTAATGATGAAGGTAAACGTCCAAAGGGGTTGACATGTATGAGTACTGTGCAGCTGTTAGACGCCGGAAATGCTGTTGGGAGCTGGAGATGGATTAGTAAATTATATAATAATAATTTAGCTTGAAAATTCACAAAAATGTAAGAAAGAGAATAAAACTGTGTTTTTTATTGTAACGTATTTACAATATTTTTGGTTTCTGTGACATTACACAAACGATTAGAAGTAATAAATCTGCGAAAAACTGAGTCCATAAACTGTGAAAAGTGAGTTTGTGAGGGTTCACTGTACGTCTGTCTCAACATATTTTGATCTGAACTCTGAAGTTTCTAGACTTACTTCAGTTTTTGTTGTTTTGTTGTGAATCTCTGCAGGTGTGATGCCAGCAGCCCATACATCCATCCTGTGGGTTGGTGCCAGGAGAAGAACCTGCCTTTAACACCACCCCAAGGTGACCAGTGCTTATTAATCTAATGAATACATAATATTAGTTTTTTTTAATTTGTAAAACTGTTGAAGAGTTCATCAAAAATGCAGGAATGACTGGTTTTGTTCGTTTTTTTGTTTTTGCTGTACCAGATTATCCAGATCCGGGCCGGTTTTCCTGGTCCCGGTATCTGGAGGAGACCGGTTCTAAGGCTGTGGCTGCAGATGCCTTCAAAGTGGTGAGGACGCACAGGCTCCCCTGCACGTCACAGCTTACTGTCCAGATATTTTATTGTGTGCAGTGAAATGGGATTTCCCAGCATCCTCTGCTCCGTCTTTAGAGACCAGCTCACAGTTTTCAGCCTCGGATGAAACTAGAGGCTGTGGACAAAAGAAGTCCTGGTCTGATCAGAGTCGCCACGGTGGAGGAAGTCGACACGCATCGCATCAAGGTGCCAATGTGCTCATTTAAACGAGCTCTCTCAGATCCATACAGTGTTTTTATTTTTAAACATCTCTACTACAACACTCAGATCCGTGTGTCCTTTTCCAGGTCCACTACGATGGTTGGAGTCACGTCTACGATGAGTGGATGGACTCGGATCACCCCGACATACATCCAGCAGGCTGGTGTGAGGCGACCGGTCATCCACTAAAAGTTCCTCCTCGGGACACCAAAACACAACCACATGGTAGCAACCAGCAACACGTGACTTTAAAAACCTGGGTTCACAATTAAATGACAGTTAATGTAGAAGCTGACAGAGTTCACTTTAGCTTGTGGAGTGAAAGTGGAAAAATAGCTGAAACAAAGAGAGGAAATTCAGTTTGAATGCTGAGTGCTAAATGATTACTGAACAGATGGTGGACACAGATAATAAAAAACTAAAAATATAGCAGAAGCTAACAGTAAACATGTAAAAAAAAAATGTTAGCGGAGGCTAACACTAACAGCTTATGGCTACCTGCTAGACAACTGTAAATCAGTCTGTGCCTTATGTCTTTGTCCCTTTAAGCCATGGGTCGCAATCCTGGTCCTCGAGTGCTGCTGTCCTGCATGTTTTACTTGTTTCTCTGCTCCGACACACCTGATTCAGAGATTGAGTTATTTCTTCCAAGTTCTGCAGAAGCCTGTTAATCTCCATTCATTCAGATCAGGTTTGTTGGAGCAGGGAAACGTAAAACATGCAGGACAGCGGCACTCGAGGACCAGGATTGCCTATCCCTGCTTTAAGCTGGTGGGACCATAGACTTGAATAAGAACACTAGACTGAGCCCCACCTATCCCGTCCACTGGTAGTGTCTGTGACAGCATGGAGGAGCAGAAACGGACCAAACAGGGCAACAGCTCACAGCCTCCATAGAAACTAATAGATAAACAACAGCTGAACTGGATTCACAATTTATCTGTCATGTTTTTACAATAAATTAATAACCATGTTAATTTCATTGAACGATCATATAAAACAGTAGATTTATACTATAAGATTTTAATTTTAAACTGTTACATTATGTTCTGCTCCGATCACATTGAGCTAAATAAGATCAAATCTGCTGACTTGTGTTGTGAAATGAGACGTTTTCCTGTTTATCTTCTGTTGATAAAATCATAACACAAACAGCTTTTCTGACATTATTTAAAACATTAGATAAATTATATAAACTGTAAAATAATATTAATAATTGTGTCAATATTATTAAGAATATTTTTTATGATTTCTACATTGTCAGTCCTTTTTTTTTGCTCTGTTGCCAACATATACAGTAATGGTAAATACAGACATTTGCGTTAGCTGTTAGCTTCTACAGCCGATCACACGCTCACGTGGTTTCTGTCAGTTGCCAGCTGTTCTATAGAACCTCCTTGGGTGGGACTGACACAAACCTATTGATGTTAATTTGTTAGTTAGCTGTTAGCGGACCTAAAGTTGGCAAAACCTCATTTATCAGAAGCTAATTGGTCCGCTAACAATTTTCGAAATTATTGTAAAAGCAAATATGACAAATTAGCGCCGCTACTACCTGTTAGCTGAACCATGCCCACCATGCTAATGAAGAAGCTGAAAAAGATCAAAACTGCTAGCTAAAAGTAGCGTAAGGCTAACTAAAAGCTTAAATGGCAAAGATACTAGTTACAAATATCAAAAGACTTGCTAGATGTTAAAAGTAGCCAAAAGGTATAGCTAAAAGATCCAATTAGCAAAGTAGTATCTAAAAGCTAAAGAATTGGCTAAAATAAGCAAAAGACAAAAATAGATTGAGTTTTCTGAACTGTTTTTGAAGAGACTGAATAGATCTGTGGGGAAAATATTTGTAAACAAGGTAAATATTTTGAAAAGTATAATTGTTGCAAAAAAGTTAAATAAAACCCAGAGCACCCATCTCCTGTATGAGCTGAATGTTCTGATGCATTTACAACATAATTAACATGGTGACTATTCAAGCTGTTGCTGATAGAAAATCTGTTTATTTTCTCCAAATATTACAAGATTATTGCTTGAGTGAACATTACCGTTTGTGTATTTATTTCTCCACATGTGAATATTGATCTCTATCTGCACGTATGAAGGTGTGAGAGAGGCTCCCACAGCGGGTCAGCTCACTTACCCCTCCACTGTTCCCTGTAAACCCATCAGCCACCCCAGAGCCAACAAGTACAGCTTCCACAACAGGTCAGAACTGAACTCACCACACTAACATCCTGTTTGTTTATTCTACATGACAAAGCTTTCAGGTTTTAGTTAGGCCGGACCCAGGAAAGCGGACCAACACAAGGAGCACCAGTACAATTTCTATAGAGTTAATCTGAGTAGGAATAAATGAAGAAATAGCATTCAGTTTTGAGTCAAGCTAAAAGCACGGTAAAATGAAGATATTCTGAAAATATTTCCATGAAAACTAAGTGTTAATCAAATGTTTAAAGAGCAAAATGTTCAATTTAGTGAGTTTTGAAGTTCACCGTATGCAGATATTCATTTGGTGCTCTACCTTCGAAACAGGAAGTGTCCGACTCCAGGTTGTGACGGTTCAGGTCATGTGACCGGCCGTTTCACTGCCCATCACTGCATATCGGGCTGCCCGCTGGCAGAGCGGAACCAGGGCAGGCTGAAGGCCGAGCTGTCCGACTCGGAGTGCAAGAGGAGCTTCTTCTTCGGCCAGAGGACAAAGAAGGCTCATTACCGTGGCAGGTGTGTGTGTATGTGTGTGTGTGTGTGTGTGTGTGTGTGTGTGTGTGTGTGTGTGNACACACACACACACACACACATATACACATAGACATATATACACATACACATCCACACACATATACACATCCACACATACGTACAATAATTACAACCTTGCTAAGTAATATACACAAAACACACAAACACACAGCCAGACACATTCACATACAAACATACACACATATACACACACATACATACATACATCCATACATACATCCATACGCACACACGCACGCAAGCACACACGCACACACACACACACACACACATGTGTGTGTGTGTGTGTGTGTGTGTGTGTGTACATAACCCTGCAGGGTTTATTTGGTCTCAACTATGTGTTCTTCTGATTAGGATTGGTCGTCCTCCTAAGTACAGAAAGACCCAGCAGAGGGACTACCAAAGTGAGTCTTCCCGGCGTTCATGTTTACCATCGATGCATTTTACCCAGGTGGCGTGCACCCTAACCAGTCAGTTTGTCCACAGACTTGTCCTCAGAGGGCGTGTACCCATCTCTGTTCATGTCAGCTTTAAGCGGTCAGTCGGACCGGACCCTGTCTCTCTGCTGGGAGCAGCACTGTAAGCTGCTGCCCGGCGTTCAGGGCATTCACGCCAGCCAGGTGGCAACGTGGAGCGTCGAAGAGGTGAGTGAGCCTTTATGCCTTACTGTCGTGTTTATTCATGTGTTTGAGTTCTTGCGAACAGTCGCCTGTCCTCGCTGCAGGTCTTCCTGTTTGTCCAGAACCTGATCGGATGCGAAGAACAGGCTCGTCTCTTCAAAGAAGAGGTGAGACCACCAGGTCGACAGGTTTTTGTCCAGCTGCTGCACACTCCTTGCTCACACTCCTCCTCTCTCCAGATGATTGACGGGGAAGCTTTGCTGCTGCTTACTCAGACTGACATTGTGAAGATCATGAGCATCAAACTAGGCCCCGCCCTCAAGATCTCCAACGCCATTCTCATGTTCAAGACGACAGACGAGGGACTGAAGTGATCCCGCCTCTGCTCGCTGGGACAAAGTGTGTGTGTGGGGTGGGGTGGGGGGTGGGAGGGGGGTCGGTCTGCTGATCATCTTGTGCCAAATTCATTTTGTTGCAGGGTAAAAACCCTGAGTATATTTTTTTTCATGTGTTTGGTGTCCTGTGCCCATCAGAGAGAGGGAGAGGAGGCCAAATCAGGGAGGAATAAGCTGTGAAGTAGATATATATATATATATTTTTAGGAATAATTGAAAAATGTGCTACTGAAACACTGGGGGAAGGACGGTGGTTTACACGACAGTTTAGTTTGGTTATTACAAAACTTTAAAAGATCAAGATCAGCATCTGGATAAAACTTGAAGCATCTCCAGAAACACGATTTCAAATCAAACATAAAAAATTGAAATAAACGAGAAAAGATAGTTAAAAATGTTGTCTACGTAAGCACTTTTAACTGTTTTTGGTAGAAAATTTGTTAAAATCACATCTTTCCTGATGTTGCCTTGTCCTAAATGGAGAAGTTTAATGAAAGCCACAGATTTGCACAATGTTAGAGACTGAATCCAGCGTTACAGATGGAGAAAACAAACAAACAAGTTATTTAATGCAGTCATGTGAATCTAGGAGATTACAGTTATAGGTATCTTTGAAGGAATGCATATCGCCCGCCGTCTCTCCATCCAGATATTTAGAGCAAGATCGTCTTATTGTGAGAAATGACAGTTGTTTTTGTCCGTAATGTAATTTGCGATCTTAGCTACCACCACAACAAATTTTGTGTTATGGCCATTTTGATGCTTTTAAATGTTTTTAGGTCAGTTGGCTGTGGCAGCCATCTTGGATCCAGTTGACTCTAAAAGTTAATCTTTCATGCACACATCCAGTGATTATTTCCTGCAATATTCATTCAAGTTTATTAATTGGTTCACAAGATATTTTGCTAACAGAGAGACACGAGCAAAAACATCATCTTTCGGCGGTGGGCGATAATAAAAGAAGAGAGATGTGAGGTGTGGACACTTGTGGGGAAAATGTAAGGAATGTTTAACAGGAGGAGTTAATTGCAGTCAGAGAGGCTCTTATGAGCTTCAAATATGTGCAATAAAGACGTGAGGGAAGTAATCAGTACAGCCCCTGACTGTTGCACTGTAACAGTATAACATGGAAAAAGATAAAGTTGCTTTATTCAGACTGGTGCAGGTTTCTTGCAAAGACAACCTGAATTATTAGTGATATTATTGATTAGGTGTATTAGTTGTTTGTAATAAAGGTTCTTATTACGGAGGAGTCGTAACGTTTAAAACGTTACGCTGCTTTCAAATGCGAGTCAGACCGATAAAAAAACAGGGTCTGCGTTTTTAAACTCTACAAAGAAAAAAAAACATATTAAGATTTATTTTTTTTGGAAACACTTAATGGATGAAAGCAACTCTGCTTGGCATCTTAGCACAAATGTGAAACCTAAATTCATTTTACAAAATTATATTACCACGAGAGGTCACCAGAGAGTGCAAAAATCCACATTTTTAGCTCTATAAATGTGTGTTTGTTATAAAAAAGCAGAGCTGGTCACAGTTTGTGTGTGACAGACGCTCCGTTCAGAGTGTGTTCATGTTTACATTTTATGTCAGAAGTGGTTCAAACACAGTTGATATTGTGTGATAAGAGATTTATGTTTTAAGGGCTCTTGGAATATTTTATTTTTGTCTCTGGTGGGGTGTATGGAAATACTGTGGAGTCATAAAGGCCATTAAATCCATATGAATCAAATCAGATCATGTCTGGTGATTGCAATGCTGTCTCTTGTTTTAACTGAGTGAAGAAGAAATACATTTTTTTATTCTGCTAAGCAAGTTTGTGTGCAAAGAACTGTTGACTATAAACTCACTTTGTTTATATCTTATCCCTCTATTAACCTAAGAGTTGGTTGTAATTGGTGACAACTCCTTCCACATCCTTCCTGTGTTCAAAAATGTCAGGTGTTACTGATAATCTACTATTTCTGCCAAAATACAGACTAGAATTTGTAAAATTACCTATTGATGTTTTAACAAATTATGAAAACACATAAGCAAATCAAATATGGTTTTTAAAACGTCTCTTTTCACAAAGATTTCAAGATTTCCGTATTTTGATGTGCCTAAGCTGGATTTTATTATTTGTATATTTTTAATTGTGAGGAAATCTGTTTTCTTTGTGAGTTAACATTTTTTTACAATATGTTTATATTCGGGAAAAAGAAGTAATTGTTACAAAATGCTAAGCTACATAAATGCAGCCTGTTTTTTCCATTTTGAGAAATTTGAGCTCCTAGCTAAACCGCTTCGAATCAAGGGCACTTCCTATAAAAGTTCACAAACTCTTCAATAAACAGTCCCATTTTATTTGTAGAGCAAAACATAACCACTGCTAAAACTGTTTTATAAAAGAATTACCTGTTTATCATATTTGGTCAATTTAAAGGCAAGTTTTTATGCTAAGCTAGGCTAACTAGCTGGCTATGATGTTTAAAAAGTCACAGGGGGTGTGTCCAAAACGGAAATTCACCAAGGCAGAAATTCAGCCTTCGTGTTTTACTTGTTTCACAAGTCAATTTAATTAGAAAATTTAATCATATTTCATATATCATAATAAATAAGAATTTATATAATTCGTTTTATTATTTATTCGTCTAATTTTGTTAAAATAATAAACTTTTATTTTGAAAACAAAAAAAAACACCGGAAGTGAGTATATGAACAGTGCGGGGCGGGCAGACGTCGCTCCGCCTAACTTTTCCAACTCATCTTCTCATCAATAATTCACTCTGCTTCAGTGGACCTGCTGATTTTGCGTCGTGTTTTAAAAAGAAAAAGTCAGTCAGACCCGAGCGAAGCTGCTGCTGCTGTCCGCCCTGGCTGCAGCAGAGTCCGGAGCTGAGCGGACTGCCTCCTCCTCTGCACTCAGGTCAGCAAACTGGACATTTACTAATAGTTTTATTTAGTCATGAAAACCTTTGACTAAACTACTTTTAGATTCTCGTTTTCTTCATATTCAATTTCTGAGTGTAGCAATCATCTCATTGTCATGTTAATTGTTTTAAAACTTAGTATTATTATGGTCTTTAATATACTTTTTCATGTTTTTTCCAGACAAATAATTTCTAGTCAGTCATGCAGAATCAACAAAATTATGGCATTATTGTTTTTATGGGGTCTCCAATAAATAACCAGTTAAGAGATTTTAAAGATAAAGAATAAACCTTTGAAAAGGTGACTAGTTCAAAACTTCACTGACTCTTATTTATTTTTGTACTTATTTTGAATTCATTCTGATAAAGATTCAGGCAGTATTTTTTGATTTTGTTGTAGTTGTTGCATGCATTAAACAGTACTTAAGCTTTTGGAAATATTTTCTATTCTTTCAGCTTCCTGTAAATGATCTGCCAGGTGCAGATACTGCTCCTCAACATGCCTACTTCTTTTTTTTTTCTTCTACGAATTGCTAAAAACAAACAAATAGTGTTTATAACAACAACAATGGTCTCAGATCAGGTACACGTCTCTGTGTTCATTATCAGCTGATGAGAACACTTTGTACTGTGTTTCCTGGTATTTAGTGGAAGAGTTTCTGGTCAGGGTCCATCTGAAGACACAGAGCATTTACCTTTGTTTTACTCCTTCAATATTTTTTTTTTGGGGGGGGGGGGGGGGGGGAACACCAAGGTAGTGTAAGGTTCGCAGATATTCACTTTGTCAACATCTGGAATCTTTCATATTTCAACAAAATGCTTCTCAAATTTAAGATGTCACTTTACACACAATTCATAGCAGAACTTGAATTAAAAAGAAATCTATTTCTTTACCAATTTTGGGAGAGCGGTGTCTTTTTCTGCTATCGCAAAAGGAGCCGGGTATCCTTATTGTGACTTTGTAATTACTGACGTCTCTCCAACATGACGAATTCATGAACCCAATTATCTAATACGCACACACAGTATTCCTCATTGTTTTGTCCAGCATCTCGTTCCTGGTAAACAAGAACTACCAGCTCGTCTGGATCCTTCGGGTGTCACGAAGAAGTCAGCAGATGATAAATATATTGTTTTTGCACACAAAACACAACTCGGATCACAGCTGAAGAAGTCGGACGCCGGTTTTCTCAAGAGTCTGAGGCGTTAAAATCCTAAACTTTTCTCTCACAGGTTCAAACGAAACACTGATGCTCCAGGCGAGTCTCCAGGGGTGGGTCTGAATAAAAAGAACCATGGCACACTGTAATGTAAGTGTTGAAATTATTTTGATCCTTATATTTGTCTTTTGCAGCCTGTTGGAACACATGACATGGAACATGCTTTTAAGATTTCTATCTTAAGAATGTTTGTTTGTTCAACAGACGCTTTGAGATTTAACCACTTAAAACGTAAAACATCTCAAAAATCTTAAATATTCAAAATGTGTGTTTGTTTTGTTGTGCATCCTCCAGTGAGATCATCTTTGTGGCTCAAAGTCAAAAGTGTTAAAATGTGTTGTTGAGTCACTTGTAAATGGGTGTAGTGTTTTATTTTTAGAAGAGATTTCACATCAAATTATGTCCATTTTTTGCAAAATAATTCACACAGTTTGAAAGTGTTATTGTCTGTCAGTTATTTTAAGTACAAAGTTAGATGTTAGTGTGTTAGTTGTGACGTCCATTATTTACCAGACTACAGAGAAAGAAGAGAACAAGACTTGTTATTCAAGTTTTTAGACTGTTTCAACAAACTTTTTGACTTTAGCTGTAAAGAGTCGTCTGAATGCTGACCAAGCAAAACAAAGTGTTCTGTTTAATTGAAGTGTTTTATAATTGATGTTTATTATATCATTAAAACACATGTTTTTATTTTTTTATTTCCAGCAGCGGTCACCGTCCTCTCCCTCTCACGACGAAGTCAATTTGGGACCCTCTGCAAACCCACAGTCAGTTTCATTTATTTTTAGAACGTAACTTTATCAGCCCAGCAAAAAGCACAGTTATAAATGTAATAACTATTTAAATAAACTCAGGAGGATCTCATTTCAGTTAAAAACGACAAAACAAAACAAAACTACAAGTAATCGCTTTATATCGTGACCCACAGTACTGATAAGTTTGTGAACATTTCCTTTTACATTTTTTGCATAAACTGAACGTCTAATATGAACAGCAGATTAAATAAACCTGATATATTATACTGTACTTCTATAAATTGAGGAAAGCGCTGCAACATCACTGATCTGTGAGGAGGAAAACTTTGCAAAAAATTGCTATAAGTATCTGGTGTTGCTTAAAAAGTAGTACTTTCTTACAGAAAAACTGTAACTCTTTAGTGACGCTGGCTTCTCAAAAAGGTTTGAGAGGCTTGTCCGTCCCACGTTATTATTTTGAGGCTTTTATTATAGGTTGTGGCTGAACTTTGGTTAGAGCTGTGGTTTCATTGAATAGAGGTTGCACCATTTGTGGGTGGAGTTTATACATTCTGTCCGTGCACACGTGGGTTTTATCTGGCAACTCTGGTTTCCTCCCACAGACCAAAACCATCCACGTTAAGTGGACAAATCCTGCTTTTAAATCCTTCATTATCGCATTTAAATCATTCAGTCCTTGTTATTGTAGCTCCACAAGCCTCTTTAAATGCAAAGGAGGCACTTCACACCCTGCCCCCCCAGGTTTAATGCTGCTTCCCAGTTGCAGCAGAATTTGTAATTATGAAGTCGAACTGAAGTATGAAGTCATTCCAGTTTCCATCTTGTCAGAACGTTGGAAAAAAACATTTTTATTTCTTGCTCTAACCGAATAATGCAACAATAACACAACAGTAGTGCTCTACGTGGCATTTACAAAGCATTAAAACATCACCTAAATGCTGTAATTTACTACCAGTATGACTGATGTAATGTAAATTAAACAACACAGAACTGCGAAAAAATGTAAAAGTCAGAGTTTCAGTCTCTGATGATGCGAGTAGCAGACATGTTGAAATGATGACGTCGCGTGTGCTCGGGTATGGTCATGTTGCAGCGACTTGCCGACTACAAATTACGACTGTTGTGGCTTTTGATATTTCAACTCGAAAGTCCAAAATTCTGACCTCCGAGTATAACCGGAATGCAGCATAACTACCAGTCTGCTTCACCCTGTTAGGCCATTTTTGTAGTTTGTTAGCAGAGACAAGATTATCTAGCACAGCAAAAATAAACAAATAAATAAATAAATAAAACACATTTTGATTTAAAGATGTCAACAACAGAAGACCTGCCCATCCAGTCTTACATGTTGGAGCCAGAGTCTGACCCAGAGTTAGAGGAGAATGTACAAAATAAAATGTATTTAATGGCTAAAAAGTTGGATTTCGCATTAATTTTCTCCTTTAGTTGTCCCCCATCCCTGTGATTGCTGGATATAAACACCAGCTCACCGTGACCTTGCACAGAAAAAAAAGTGTGTGTGGTTGGACTCTGAGTTGATTTTCTTGCCACACGACCCCCAGTTTTACTTTTGTCACATCTGCCCATAAAATGTTTCCCTGCAGCCTTTTTATGTAATCTTTAACAAGCTGTGAAAGCAGCGATAGACATTTATTAAGCTGAGTGAAATTTGCTTATTTTGTGTCCATTCACAACCTCAGGGAGTTTAACTCCAGTTGTCCTTGGATTGAGCTTTGGTTTTCAACCACACCTTTGGTTGGATAGAGTTCATTATAGTTTCTTTCATTTGTACACAGTCTATCTTCCTGCTGGCAGGTAAAGTCACGATTAGATAATGTTTTACAGCCTAATCTTACAAAGTATAATGTTGATCAATAGTGTCTGAGGGAAAATACGTCTTGTATTTTTTTACAAAACACATAATTAATTGAATAAATTATTATTTCTTTTCTTTAGTGCCAGACCCACTGACTTTGACTTCCTGGCCGTCATTGGTAAAGGCACCTTTGGAAAGGTAAACCTGGAACACTTTATTTATTTATTTCCTTGTTGATGAGTGCATCTACCTGTAGTTTTATTATTAGCCTTTCAGATCATATATCATACCTGTACGCCTCAGATTTCCAGACTGACGCAAGGTGCAGTGTTGTAAAATAACTCTTTTTGGATGATTTAAATCCTGCTGATCAAACAATTTTTTCATTTTATTAGTATCTAAAACCTTATTCATTCTAGTCCTACAAGAATGTGTTCTTGGACAAAGCACTTTTCGTTTGCATCTTATCTCTTTAGGCTGAGTTCTTAGAAATATAGCCTCTTATGGAAGATGCACAAATTTTCTTTACTGAGGTTTTTTTTTTTTTTTTTTTGTTGAGTTTCCAGTTGCAGTCGTGTATTCAGGTCTGCAGGAATTTTCTTGTGCTGACCTTGTGAGACAGAACAGTAAAATAACAATAAAAGTTTCAAGACAGCGCCCTGCTCTTAATATTACTAGAAGGGCAAGTGATCAAAACAAGTTCATAAATCATTAACTGTAGAATTCACTGAGGCCACTTGTGATTTTTTAGAATGTTAAATTTTCTTTCGTTAAAAGCCTCACCTGTAAATGTGGTGCTCTAGATTTAATCTGATCTTTTTTATTTTTTTATATACTTGAATCTCTGATGGCTGCTTACCTCTCAGTAAAAAACAGCATTGTGTAAAAGTTTGTAATTTATATTTTATGAGAAGACTTCTGTAATCAGGTCTTGTGTGTTATTCCCTCTGCTCATATTCAGTTATCTTCTGCTATTGATCAGTTTTAGGCTGTTTGCCTTTTAATATCAGCTGAAAGGGTTAGCCACTACACATCCTCTGGACTTTATTCCCACATCTTTGAAGAAATTATTGATAATGTTGAACCGTGGCCACTTATTCGTCAGCAAGACTTTGGCTACACTTCTCCAAATATTTTTAAAAACTGAGACCTCTCCTCCACACACAAACAGAGTTTTTGATAAGACAATCGGGTATGTTTTCCCAAAGCTGTTACTTTTAAATACGGTACTTCCTCTCTGGTGGTTCTATGTGGACAGGAGATACAGAGCTTTTTATGAACGACGACCTATTTTTAGCCTTCTTCTGTCACTTTGTGCCCCAGAAACAAATATTTAGCTGTTATACTGATGTTTTTGGATTTGTCTCACTTTACCCCAATCCTGTCGCTGTCAAGCTTTGATGGTGTGCTGAAACTGTTTCTGTTGGATTTACGCTTGTATTAGTAGAACTATTTTATTTTAAGATCACTGTCCATCTATAACACACCATCATTATCAGTAAACCTGACCTTGCACCATAAAACAACCATGTATAAACTTAATAAACCCATGTATTCAGGATTGTTGTGAGGAAAATCATGCTTAGGGTTTTAGTTACTATGATTACTTAATTTAAAGACAGTACTATTACTCTTGTATTTTTTTCTGCTTTTATTTAATAGTTTAACTCGTATCGCTGTAGATATTCAGCCCTTCGGTCAGCACCTTTTTTTCCCTCAGTATCAGCTGTTTCCACACATCACCTCCCTATGCTGCGTGCATTGCTTTTATTTTATTTTTTTATATTTTGATGAAACGTCCTGACAGCAGTGTGCGCCAAGATGCTGCTGGTGCAAGATATTTACAAAACAAACCATTAACGAGCAAACCATCATGCAGGTCCTGCTTGCCAAGCACAAAGCCGACGGCAAGTTCTACGCTGTGAAAGTGCTGCAGAAGAAAATCATCCTCAAGAAGAAAGAGGTATTTTTTTTCTTTATCGGCAGTTTTGATCAAAAGGGGAATCATTTCGGACTGAACGCAGATGAAATTACTAAATTGCTTAGTGATTAGTACCATGATAAAAATGTTTTTTTTTTCTTTGTGTGTGTTCACCAACTAAAACTTGAACACTACCCAACTTTTAAAGGTTAAGAAGATAAAGGTGGAAAATATCTGGAAGCAGACCAAGAGGAAAATCTGTTTGTGTCTGTTAAAGTTATTTGTAAACAGTCTTCTGACCAGATCTGTATCTTATCTAATCTGTAGCTTGTTCTGTACAAAGGACACATTTTACAACCCACAGAAAATCAACTGGACCGCTTTTGTTTGTCGGACACAAAGAGAATATCTGATCAAATGCACTGATTACATGAAACTTAAATTTGAAAAGAAATTTTCTGTCATTTTCAGTTTTTTCATTGGATTATTGTGATTTATTTTGTGAGGACCTAAAAAGTGATTCTAATGTACTTTTATTGGTTCCAGTTTTTTCTCAGAAATGACAGGTTCTTTTATTTATTTATTCATTTTGTTGTGGAGCAAGTTTTATTAAGATAACTATAAAACAGTTCATAAAAAATAGTTTGAATTAATAAGCCTTAAGTATAAAAACTACAAAACATTTTAATTTTTATTATCATGTATTTCACACACACAAACAAACAAACAAACAAATTGGAATTTCTAAAATTCTAAAGTATAATTGAAATATTACATTACTAATAAAAATAAAATATCTGAACTGTAGTGTCTATATGTTGTACACATTTATGTTCTGTAAAGAACTGACAACTATCTGACATCAGCATTTATAGCTAATTTTATGACTATGAAGTTTGTTTTGCTCTTTTATTTAAAACATTTGTTTGACAGACACCAGTTTAATTGCTGCATTGTGGATTTAGCTATCATGTTAGTTACAGTATACAGTAAAATGAGAGGAACAGGAAATGTTTTAAACTATGTGACATACATGGACCAAATCAATAATACAGAAGCATCAATAGTGCGTGAACTGCGGGTAGTGCTGGGAAACATCCGGATAATTAACCAGGAAGAAACAGCATCATTCCGTATACTAAACATCACACCTCTTTGTTAATTTTAGATTGTCAAACGTACTTCAAATCATTTATACACAATAAAGCACATTTACCGTGATGTGAAAATTCTCAATGGCGAAAGTGTGTTCCTTGTTTAAGGTTTTTGTTCCTTCTGTTTATAGCAAAAGAACATCATGGCAGAGAGGAACGTGCTGCTGAAGAGTCTGAAACACCCGTTTCTGGTTCGACTTCACTACTCCTTCCAGACCGCAGAGAAACTCTACTTTGTCCTGGACTACGTAAACGGAGGAGAGGTACATGTTTTATAATAAAATCAGTTTAAAAGGGGCCATGTGTTACTTTATTATCAGAGAGAGATCTCATTATAAATTGGTAACGATTGCTTCTTTTATTTATTGGTATCCTGTTTATCTTATCACTATTTTTATCAGTGTTGTTGTGTGCATGTTTTCACCTCTTTATTTCATAGATCTCTTTACTGCTCTTATGAAACTCTGTAAACAACATTTCTGCAAATATTGACTGATTGTAAGATTCATGTTACTGAAGTTGACTTTAAACTTGCATAAATAATCCATTTAAAGTGTATCTTACCCCCACTGTGAAAAGATAACTCCGCCCCAAGACGAAATTTGAAAAATGCATCAAAGTGGGTAGGGAAGGGGGGTTAGAGAGCGGAGGTGTGGCCAGGACGAGAGAACGCGACAGGCAGCTAGCATTAGCATAATTGATGCTACATGGAGAGTGACCACAGTATCGCAGACAGTTACATCTCTGAACGGTCTGAGGTGGAGGATTTTCACCCCACACCAGCACTGGACAGAGGAGGTGGAGCGCTCCGACAGCCTGACAGAAAAAAAATAAAAGCATACAGCTGCAGCTGCTACGAGATCGCTAGTTTAAATCAGGAATAATAGTGTTGGGTCTTGTTTGACTGAAGTTCGGTCCAGTTCGCATACATTTCAACCTCTTTGGATGTTTACCTGTGTAAAGAGCCCAAAAAAATCCATAAATTTTGCAAAAAGTCCTTACAACTCGCACCCGTGAGGGGTGGGGGTCAGCTGTGGACATGAAAGCGCCTGCTAAAGGAAAGGAGAGAGGAAAAAGTAACTTATTTCTAGCGGCAGAACGGGTTGGAAGATGGCTGTTTGATGTTATTTATTGTATTTTAAATCATCCTATAGGCTCTGACATGTTAGATAAATTTGAAAATGAGGTTTTTAAAATATCCGTAAGACTTGAAAAAATCCGTGAGATTGCTCTATATGTCCGTATACCTGCAAAATGATGTCAGATCTTTATAATTTACAGATAATCTGTACAAGTTGACATGTGGGTTCGGGCTGAAGCTGCCCCGCTGCCTTTCTTTCCCCTCCTCCCCTCCCGCTGTGCAGGACGTACTGCTGGTGTGTGTGTGTGTGTGTGTGTGTGTGTGTGTGTGTGTGTGTGTGTGTGTGTGTGTGTGTGTGTGTGTGTAGAGAGAGAG